CCTCCCAGCTGGCCTGGAGACCTTCTCCCAGCGGCCAGGAGGACCTTCTTCCAGCGGCCAGGAGACCTTCTCCAAGCTGGCCAGAGACCTTCTCCAAGCTGGCCAGGAACCTTCTCCAGCTGGCCTGGAACCTTCTCCCAGCTGGCCTGGAGGGCCTTCTCCCAGCTGGCCTGGAGACCTTCTCCCCAGTGGCCTGGAGAAACCCTTTTCCCAGCTGGCCAGGAGGACCTTCTCCCAGCTGGCCTGGAGCCTTCTCCCAGCTGGCCTGGAGACCTTCTCCCAGCTGGCTGGAGACCTTCTCCCCAGCTGGCCTGGAGACCTTCTCCCAGTGGCCAGGAGGGCCTTCTTCCAGCTGGCCAGGAGACCTCCCAGCTGGGGCCCGGAGACCTTCTCCCAGCTGCCAGGAGACCTTCTCCCAGCTGGCCAGGAGACCTTCTTCCAGCTGGCCAGGAGACCTCCCAGTGGCCAGGAGACCTTTTCCCAGCTGGGCCAAGGAGACCTTCCCCCCAGCTGGCCAGGAGACCTTCTCCCAGCTGGCCAGGAGACCTTCTCCCAGCTGGCCAGGAGACCTTCTCCCCCTGGCCAGGAGACCCCCCTCCCAGCTGGCCAGGAGACCTTCTCCCAGCTGGCAAGGAGACCTTCTCCCAGCTGGCCAGGGAGACCTTCTCCCAGCTGGGCCCGGAGACCTTCTCCCAACTGGCCAGGAACCTTCTCCCAGCTGGCCAGGAGACACTTCTCCCAGCTGGCCAGGAGACCTTCCCCCCAGCTGGCCAGGAGACCTCCTCCCAGCTGGCAAGGAGACCTTCTCCAGCTGGCCGGAGACCTTCTCCCAGCTGGCCAGGAGACCTTCTCCCAGCTGGCCAGGAGACCTTCTCCCAGCTGGCCAGGAGACCTTCTCCCAGCTGGCAAGGAGACCTTCTCCCAGCTGGCCAGGAGACCTTCTCCCAGCTGGCCAGGAGACCTTCTCCCACCTGGCCAGGAGACCTTCTCCCACTGGCCCCGGAGACCTTCTCCCACTGCCAGGGGACCTTCCCCAGCTGGCCAGGAGACCTCCTCCCAGCTGGCAAGGAGACCTTCTCCCAGCTGGCAAGGAGACCTTCTCCCAGCTGGCCAGGAGAAACCCTTCTCCCAGCTGGCCAGGAGACCTTTCCCCGCAAATATAACAGGGAAGTAATGTGGTTCTTTTTGGGGAGTTAAAAATTTAATTTCATAATATTTTCAATAATTTTTTGACGAATAAAGAATTTAAAATAGATATAAAACCTATACAGTATAGTTAATATACAGTATGGTTAATATCAGTATGGTTAATATACAGTATGGTTAATAACAGTATGATTAATATACAGTATGGTTAATATACAGTATAGTTAAAATACAGTATGGTTAATAACAGTATAGTTTAATATACAGTAAAGGTTAATATACAGTATGGTTAATATACAGTATGGTTAATATACAGTATGATTAATATACAGTTATGGTTAAAATACAGTATGGTTAAAATACAGTATGATTAATATACAGTATGGTTAATATACAGTATGGTTAATATACAGTATGATTTAATATACAGTATGGTTATTATTACAGTATGGTTAATATACAGTAAAGATTATATACGTATGGTTAATATACAGTTATGGTTAATATACAGTATGGTTATATACAGTATGGTTAATATACAGTATGGTTAATATACAGTATGATTTAAATTTCAGTATGGTTAATATACAGTATGGTAAAAATACAGTATGATTCAATATACAGTAAAGGTTAATATACAGTATGGTTAATATGCAGTATGGTTAATATGCAGCATGGTTAATATAAAGTATGGTTAATATACCCGTATGGTTAATATACAGTAGGTTAATATACAGTATGATTAATAACATATAGTTAATAGCAGTATGGTTAATATGCAGCATTGGTTAATATACAGTATGGTTAATATACAGTATGGTTTTAAAAATTTCAGTATGGTTAATATACAGTATGGTTAATATACAGTATGATTAATATACAGTATGGTTAATATACAGTATGGTTAATATACAGTATGGTTAATATACAGTATGAATTTAAAATACAGTATGGTTAATATACAGTAGGTTATTATACAGTATGATTAATATACAGTATGGTTGAATACAGTATGGTTAATATGCAGTATGGTTAATTACAGCATGGTTAATATACAGTATGGGGTTTAAAATACAGTGTGGTTAATATACAGTATGGTTAATATACAGTATGGTTAATATAAAAGTAGGTTATTATAACAGTATGGTTAATATACTGTAAGGGTTTAAAATACAGTACCGTTAATATAAAATTTGGTTAATATGCAGTATGGTTAATATACAGCATGGTTTTAAAAATTTCAGTATGGTTTTATTAAAAGTATGGTTTTAAAATACAGTATGGTTAATATACAGCAGGTTAATATACAGTATGGTTAATATACAGTATGGTTAATATACAGTATGGTTAATAAAACAGTATGGTTAATATACAGTATGGTTAATATACAAAATGGTTAATATGCATATGGTTAATATACAATTGGTTTAAAATGCAGTATGGTTAAAATACAATATGGCTAATATACAGTATGGTTAATATACAATATGGTTACTATACATTATGGTTAATATACAGTATGGTTTATATACAGTATGGTTAATATACAGTATCGTTAATATAAAGTTTGGTTAATATGCAGTATGGTTAATATACAGTATGGTTAAAATACAGTATGGTTAATATACAGTATGAGTAATATACATATGGGTTAATAAAACAGTATGGTAATATACAGTATGAGTAATATACAGTATGGTTAATATACAGTATGGTTAATATACAGTATGAGTAATATACAGTATGGTTAATATACAGTATGGTTAATATACAGTATGGTTAATATACAGTATGGGTAATATGCATTATCTGTAATATGCATTATGGTTAATATACAGTATGGGTAATATACAGTATGGGTAATATACAGTATGGTTAATATACAGTATGGTTAATATACAGTATGGGTTATATGCATTATGGGTAATATGCATTATGGGTAATATGCATTATGGTTAATGTACAGTATTGTTAATATACAGTATGAGTAATATACAGTATGGTTAATATACAGTATGGGTAATATGCATTATGGGCAATATGCATTATGGGTAATATGCATTATGGTTAATATACAGTATGGGTAATATACAGTATGGTTAATATTCAGTATGGGTAATATACAGTATGGTTAATATACAGCATGGTTAATATACATTATGGTTAATATACAGTATGGGTAATATACAGTATGGTTAATATACAGTATGGGAAATATACAGTATGGTTATTATACAGTATGGGAAATATACAGTTTCGGTAATATACAATATGGGTAATATACAGTATGGGTAATGTACAGTACGGTTAATATACAGTATTGTTAATATACGGTATGGGTAATATACAGTATCGGTAATATACAGTATGGGTAATATACAGTATGGGTAATATACAGTATGGGTAATATACAGTATGGGTAATATACAGTATGGGTAATATACAGTATGGGTAATATACAGTATGGGTAATCCGTAGGAGGCATAATGTTGTTTCAGAAAATCTTTCATTCCACAACTAATTTTTATCTAAGTATTAAATAATTTACCATGAACCAGAACAAATAAAGTGACAGTCAAACTAAGAGTAGATACTGAACCTAAGTGAGAGACCAGGCAGCTGTACGCTGAATAAACACAACTGAACCCATAACGGTACACTGAAAGCACCAATTATAGTAGACAATTGCACCTATATACCAGTCCTCGTTTATCATAAACACTGTTGTATGAAAGAGCAGATCATACAGTACAGATCTTACATATGACAGTACCCGTCTAACATGACCAAGGATTAAGACATCACGAATGTTAGTACGATAAAAAAATGTGTGGGGGAGATACACTGGCTAGTATGTCAGGGACTGTACAGATATTCCTGCGCAGTGACTAGTTCTGTAGCTCCTGGTATAAGACTAGTTTGCACGTAAGAGAAACCAGTATGTCAGGAACTATACATAGGCACTTCTCACAAGCCTGCACGTAAAAGATTAGACAAAAACCTTCTGCACAGGAACTAGCTTTCACCTAACAGAAGCCAATAAGTCTCGAACTGCAAGGAGGAACTCCTGCGAAGTTAACAGCTAGCACGTAACAGAGGCCAGTATGTCAAGACGGCATAAAGACCCTCCTGCTCAAGGACTAACTAGCACGGACACTTCTGCTTAGGGACTTGTCTGCACGTAACGAAGACTAGTATGGCAGGATCACACCCAGGCACTATTATCCCAGGAGTGGCTTGTACGTAACTGAGACCAATATGTCACTGACCAAAGTTCTCAGTACCTGCAAACTACACTGTCTCCAAAGCCAAAGTGTAAACATCCAGTGAAAGGAGCATCTCAGACGACGTGACTCCAGCTACAGGGGAGGGGAGCTCTATGCCTTCCAAATATAAGATCTTCACCCAAATGAGTGCATGTTGGCCAACTGTTGGTTACCCAAAGCTCAGCCACAAGCCACTGAGAGCCCATGATGAGACCACGAAGAGCTGAATTATAAATTAATTCTATGACATATCAGGGTGCAAAGGTTAGGTTACATAAGGTTTGTCAGGAAACAGAACAAGTGTCTCCGGACGCGGGTCTTACGCAAATGACGACCCGCTATTGGAGCTTTTGGTCATCTGACCGAGGCCTTAAGCGGGCTTACCGGTCCACCCCTTTAAAAATTATGGTCAAAGTTGTAACTATTTCTTAAAGGGTGGAAAAAATATGTACGTCAGGCCAGCATTTAATACTTTGTTGATGTAAGTAATAATCACAACACAACACTACAGTACAAGACCACCACCCAACACTACAAGATCATCACTCAACACTACAGTACAAGACACCACGACACGACCACTCGACACCACGCCTCACCACACAACAGCACCCCCTTCACAATACCACCATGCAACACCACCAAACATCACTGCGCAACACCACCACTCAACACAACCACACAGGACCACCACACAACATCTGACAAATGCACCACCTTCCTAAGCTAAGCAGGTGTCAAGGGATCTGATTATTGTAACAGTACATTCGACATTTCCTGCTACTCTATCTATCCCTCTCCTGTGCATCACTTAAAATGACTCTCTCCTCATTCAGGTATCTCCACCACACTTGGTTGAGTACTATCCCCTGGTCCACAACGACGGCTTGGAGAGCAGGAGGCTAGGTCTATCCTTCACGGTAAGTGATGGAGGTTGTCATCTCTTTGATAACATATATATTAAAATTTATCTTGTCGAGTATGTTACATACGGAGCTTTTTGTCGTGTGACCGAGGTGTTCCTGATGACCCGCTCAGTGAGGGTTTAGGTCATGTGACCCAGGTATTCCTGATGACCCGCTCAGTGAGGGTTCAGGTCATGTGACCGAGGTGTTCCTGATGACCCGCTCAGTGAGGGTTTAGGTCATGTGACCCAGGTATTCCTGATGACCCGCTCAGTGAGGGTTCAGGTCATGTGACCGAGGTGTTCCTGATGACCCGCTCAGTGAGGGTTTAGGTCATGTGACCCAGGTATTCCTGATGACCCGCTCAGTGAGGGTTCAGGTCATGTGACCGAGGTGTTCCTGATGACCCGCTCAGTGAGGGTTTAGGTCATGTGACCCAGGTATTCCTGATGACCCGCTCAGTGAGGGTTTAGGTCATGTGACCGAGGTGTTCCTGATGACCCGCTCAGTGAGGGTTTAGGTCATGTGACCCAGGTATTCCTGATGACCCGCTCAGTGAGGGTTCAGGTCATGTGACCGAGGTGTTCCTGATGACCCGCTCAGTGAGGGTTTAGGTCATGTGACCCAGGTATTCCTGATGACCCGCTCAGTGAGGGTTCAGGTCATGTGACCGAGGTGTTCCTGATGACCCGCTCAGTGAGGGTTTAGGTCATGTGACCCAGGTATTCCTGATGACCCGCTCAGTGAGGGTTTAGGTCATGTGACCGAGGTGTTCCTGATGACCCGCTCAGTGAGGGTTTAGGTCATGTGACCCAGGTATTCCTGATGACCCGCTCAGTGAGGGTTCAGGTCATGTGACCGAGGTGTTCCTGATGACCCGCTCAGTGAGGGTTTAGGTCATGTGACCCAGGTGTTCCTGATGACCCGCTCAGTGAGGGTTTAGGTCATGTGACCTAGGATGTACTGTTGACGTCCCTGATGACACACTCAGTGAAGGTTTACGTCATGTGACCGAGGACGTATTCATTCCCATCAAGCAACTACTGGCTTCCCAAAGCTGGATATCATATATTATACAACTGCTGGCTTAGTAGAGCCGGGTCTCACACATTAAACAACCACTGGCTTGCCAGTGCTCTCTCTTTTATTAAACACGTACTGGCTTGCCTGTGCTGTGTCTTATTAAACACGTACTGGCTTGCCTGTGCTGTGTCTCATTAAACACGTACTGGCTTGCCAGTGCTGTGTCTCATTTATTAAACACGTACTGGCTTGCCTGTGCTGTGTCTCATTTATTAAACACGTACTGGCTTGCCTCTGCTGTGTCTCATTTATTAAACACGTACTGGCTTGCCTGTGCTGTGTCTCATTAAATACGTACTGGCTTGCCTGTGCTGTGTCTCATCAAACACGTACAGGTTTGCCTGTGCTGTGTCTCATTAAATACGGACTGGCTTGCCTGTGCTGTGTCTCATAAAACACGTACTGGCTTGCCTGTGCTGTGTCTCATTAAACACGTACTGGCTTGCCTGTGCTGTGTCTCATTTATTAAACACGTACTGGCTTGCCTGTGCTGTGTCTCATTTATTAAACACGTACTGGCTTGCCTGTGCTGTGTCTCATTTATTAAACACGTACTGGCTTGCCAGTGCTGTTTCTCATTTATTAAACACGTACTGGCTTGCCAGTGCTGTGTCTCATTAAACACGTACTGGCTTGCCAGTGCTGTGTCTCATTAAACACGTACTGGCTTGCCTGCGACGTGTCTCGTTTATTAAACACGTACTGGCTTGCCAGTGCTGTGTCTCATTAAACACGCACTGGCTTGCCTGTGCTGTGTCTCATTTATTAAACACGTACTGGCTTGCCTGTGCTGTGTCTCATTTATTAAACACGTACTGGCTTGCCAGTGCTGTGTCTCATTAAACACGTACTGGCTTGCCTGTGCTGTGTCTCATTTATTAAACACGTACTGGCTTGCCAGTGCTGTGTCTCATTAAACACGTACTGGCTTGCCAGTGCTGTGTCTCATTAAACACGTACTGGCTTGCCTGTGCTGTGTCTCATTTATTAAACACGTACTGGTTTGCCTGTGCTGTGTCTCATCTATTAAACACGTACTGGCTTGCCTGTGCTGTGTCTCATTAAACACGTACTGGCTTGCCTTTGCTGTGTCTCATTTATTAAACACGTACTGGCTTGCCTGTGCTGTGTCTCATTTATTAAACACGTACTGGCTTGCCAGTGCTGTGTCTCATTAAACACGTACTGGCTTGCCTGGGCTGTGTCTCATTTATTAAACACGTACTGGCTTGCCTGTGCTGTGTCTCATTTATTAAACACGTACTGGTTTGCCAGTGCAGTGTCTCATTAAACACGTACTGGCTTGCCTGTGACGTGTCTCGTTTATTAAACACGTACTGGCTTGCCAGTGCTGTGTCTCATGAAACACGTACTGGCTTGCCTGTGCTGTGTCTCATTTATTAAACACGTACTGGCTTGCCTGTGCTGTGTCTCATTTATTAAACACGTACTGGCTTGCCAGTGCTGTGTCTCATTAAACACGTACTGGCTTGCCTGTGCTGTGTCTCATTTATTAAACACGTACTGGCTTGCCAGTGCTGTGTCTCATTAAACACGTACTGGCTTGCCAGTGCTGTGTCTCATTAAACACGTACTGGCTTGCCTGTGCTGTGTCTCATTTATTAAACACGTACTGGCTTGCCTGTGCTGTGTCTCATTTATTAAACACGTACTGGCTTGCCTGTGCTGTGTCTCATTAAACACGTACTGGCTTGCCTTTGCTGTGTCTCATTTATTAAACACGTACTGGCTTGCCAGTGCTGTGTCTCATTTATTAAACACGTACTGGCTTGCCAGTGCTGTGTATCATTAAACACGTACTGGCTTGCCTGGGCTGTGTCTCATTTATTAAACACGTACTGGCTTGCCTGTGCTGTGTCTCATTTATTAAACACGTACTGGCTTGCCAGTGCTGTGTCTCATTAAACACGTACTGGCTTGCCTGTGCTGTGTCTCATTTATTAAACACGTACTGGCTTGCCAGTGCTGTGTCTCATTAAACACGTACTGGCTTGCCAGTGCTGTGTCTCATTAAACACGTACTGGCTTGCCTGTGTTGTGTCTCATTTATTAAACACGTACTGGCTTGCCTGTGCTGTGTCTCATTTATTAAACACGTACTGGCTTGCCTGTGCTGTGTCTCATTAAACACGTACTGGCTTGCCTTTGCTGTGTCTCATTTATTAAACACGTACTGGCTTGCCTGTGCTGTGTCTCATTTATTAAACACGTACTGGCTTGCCAGTGCTGTGTCTCATTAAACACGTACTGGCTTGCCTGTGACGTGTCTCGTTTATTAAACACGTACTGGCTTGCCAGTGCTGTGTCTCATTAAACACGTACTGGCTTGCCTGTGCTGTGTCTCATTTATTAAACACGTACTGGCTTGCCTGTGCTGTGTCTCATTTATTAAACACGTACTGGCTTGCCAGTGCTGTGTCTCATTAAACACGTACTGGCTTGCCAGTGCTGTGTCTCATTAAACACGTACTGGCTTGCCTGTGCTGTGTCTCATTTATTAAACACGTACTGGCTTGCCTGTGCTGTGTCTCATTTATTAAACACGTACTGGCTTGCCAGTGCTGTGTCTCTTTAAAACACGTACTGGCTTGCCTGGGCTGTGTCTCATTTATTAAACACGTACTGGCTTGCCTGTGCTGTGTCTCATTTATTAAACACGTACTGGCTTGCCAGTGCTGTGTCTCATTAAACACGTACTGGCTTGCCTGTGCTGTGTCTCATTTATTAAACACGTACTGGATTGCCAGTGCTGTGTCTCATGAAACACGTACTGGCTTGCCAGTGCTGTGTCTCATTAAACACGTACTGGCTTGCCAGTGCTGTGTCTCATTAAACACGTACTGGCTTGCCTTTGCTGTGTCTCATTTATTAAACACGTACTGGCTTGCCTGTGCTGTGTCTCATTAAACACGTACTAGCTTGCCTTTGCTGTGTCTCATTTATTAAACACGTACTGGCTTGCCTGTGCTGTGTCTCATTTATTAAACACGTACTGGCTTGCCAGTGCTGTGTCTCATTAAACACGTACTGACTTGCCTGGGCTGTGTCTCATTTATTAAACACGTACTGGCTTGCCTGTACTGTGTCTCATTTATTAAACACGTACTGGCTTGCCAGTGCTGTGTCTCATTAAACACGTACTGGCTTGCCTGTGCTCTGTCTCATTTATTAAACACGTACTGGCTTGCCTGTGCTGTTCTCATTAAACACGAACTGGCTTGCCTGTGCTGTGTCTCATTTATTAAACACGTACTGGCTTGCCTGTGCTGTGTCTCATTAATTAAACACGCACTGGCTTGCCTGTGCTGTGTCTCATTTATTTAACACGCACTGGCTTGCCTGTGCTGTGTCTCATTTATTAAACACGCACTGGCTTGTCTGTGCTGTGTCTCATTAAATACGTACTGGCTTGCCTGTGCTGTGTCTCGTTAAACACGTACTTTCTTGCCTGTGCTGTGTCTCATTTATTAAACACGCACTGGCTTGCCTGTGCTGTGTCTCATTTATTAAACACGCACTTGCTTGCCAGTGCTGTGTCTCATTTATTAAACACGTACTGGCTTGCCTGTGCTGTGTCTCATTTATTAAACACGTACTGGCTTGCCTGTGCTGTGTCTCATTTATTAAACACGTACTGACTTGCCAGTGCTGTGTCTCATTAAACACGTACTGGCTTGCCTGTGATGTGTCTCGTTTATTAAACACGTACTGGCTTGCCAGTGCTGTGTCTCATTTATTAAACAAGTACTGGCTTGCCAGTGCTGTGTCTCATTTATTAAACACGTACTGACTTGCCAGTGCTGTGTCTCATTAAACACGTACTGGCTTGCCTGTGATGTGTCTCGTTTATTAAACACGTACTGGCTTGCCAGTGCTGTGTCTCATTTATTAAACACGTACTGGGTTCCCAG